GCGGGAACACCGCCAACGCCGGGCGGTTGACGAGCGCCACCACCTGGTCCTCCAGCTGGGCGGCGGCGATGAGCGCCGGGTTGTTGTAGCCAAGCGCGATCAGCGCGATCTGCTGGAACACGTCCAACATCATGTTGCCGTCGGCGTCGGCGATGTAGTTGCCAATCGACTTGCGGTAGTCCACGACGAAATTGGCGGTGTTGTTGTCGTAGATCTCGCCAAGCGACTCGAGGATCTGCGCCAGCTTGGGCCCGGGCACCAGGTCAGTGACAAGCACGGGCGCCGACGGTTCCAGCGGGTAGTAGTGGGCGGCGGCCAGCAAGCGGCGGCGGGCGGTGAGGGCGCGGCGGGCGACACAGGCCGACCGTCTGAGCATTGGTATTTGAAAGTTGTCGTAGTGTCAGTAAGCCGGGCATCATTTGGCTTTTATAGCGGTCTCCCGGGCGTGGTCGCCAGGCGCCTTGTAGGGACTCGGGTTCCGTCGTTGCGCGGGGGCCAGCGGCGCATAGCCGCTACCTTGCCCCGCCCAAGAATCTAGGGGGCACTCAGCCGTGTGGCCCAACGCCCTCTCGAGGCTGCCGATAGAGGAATAAGATAACGCTTTAGGTATCGTTTGGTTTTTAGTTGGAATGGGGCATTGGTCGGGTTTATCAGGTAGTGTGGGCAGACGATGGGTGTGTGGTGGATAGCAAGTACGGGGCGTGTTTGGTGAAGGTGTCGGCTATGTGCAGGACTGCCTTTTTTGGTGAGGCTGGTCTCGGCGGGGCGCTATACTTCGCCAGCGATGATCACAAACAAAAGGGATGCGAATCCCGTTGGTAGGCGCACGACCAAACACCACCACCAATTAGCGGACACCGCGAGCCGTGTCTGATGCCAGCTGGCGTCACTGGCTCCGGACACCGACCTCCGTGTATCGTGTGCTTGATTGCATTCCGTGGAACTGATTGACTCGGGGCTTAATTTTTTTCCACTATGCACTGACCTCGCCATTATCCCTACCTGACCTCCCCGTTATCCTTCTATTATTCTCACAGTATCCCCACACTCCCACTCTATTATCCTCTCAGTTTACTCCCACTATGATCCTTTCATTACTATTGTCTTCCCCCTAAATTATTGGACCCATTGGTCTTGACCAATATCAAAATATCCGAGGATGAGAGATCTACTCCAGAGATACGTGTCGTCACTGGTGGGTGGATTTTCGGGTCCCGCCGTGCTCGGTGTCCCACTCGTTTACGACTTACCGTTACAGGCAAGTCGAACGCCGCTGGGGGGCATATCCAAAGGCCAGAAGCAGATTACGAACGGCGCCGACTCTGTGTCAATTTTCTTCGGCTACCGGACTTTACCCCCAACGGCGCTTGCCGATTGCAGCTGACGGCGTTAGCTCCGGGAGAGAATGGAGGCGAGAGGGGCCCCGTCGCAGGTGGACAGGGGCCCCCGACCCCCTCGCGGTCGCCAGCCGAGCCCAGCGGGCGGGTATTGGGTATTGTTATACTTGGTGTCCGAGCGGTGATGTCATCGCCGAAGCAATGACTCCGACAACCCCGGATCCCGGTGGTCGCGGTCAATATCTGTCACTAAATGGATCGCCAAGGCAGTGCAAATACCAATTTCTGGTTTGTGTCAACAAACCACAAATGTGGGGGTGCCGATAACCAGTGCCATCGAGCTTGTTTCCACGATAAATCACCGCCAGGGTAGAGCAGGCGTCGGTTACGGGGCACGCGGGAAGCAGCCATGCACGCGGCCACAAGAAACTCGGACCTCATCTTTTATTGGAAGTTAGCTTCCGCAGACAAATCGCCCCAACTTTGCCAACGAAAATCAGCGGACATCCGGTAACCTCAACAATTTAATTGGTTCCTACGTCCTATGGCAACCTTGCTTTCAGCCATTAAGGTTTCGCTTGCCTTCAGCCCCTCCCCTCGCTCGCGATCGCTTGTGACGCAACAGAAAGATTCCCCTGGTGCCCCAATAGCGTTTTTCGGCCGACTCCCGTTTTCACTTCTCCACTCCGATACAGGGTACATTTTCCCACATCGACGCAACTCCTGCAATGCTCCACGCCGCCACAAAAATACTGCGCGTATATCCCCGATTTAAAACCGTTGGCAGCAGCAGGCATGAGGGCATGTGTAGTCGATAATATCGGTTAGGGGTACCGCGAGCAATTCGTGGGCTGCTAGCACTGTCGACTGATTTTTCTGGCTTCTCCAAAAAGATATATCCTCTCAGTCGAGTTCACTTGGCAATGCTTAGTGCACTTGGCCAATACATGGTAGTCTTATTGGAGTAAATGACGTGCTGAAGTTTGGCCTTCGTTAGGTGACTAACCAGCCGTGCTTGCGTAACAATATCCAGTCTAGTATGCACGACGTATTGCCGACCCAACAAGTTAATATTTATGAAAACCTTCAGCGTTTCAACCAGAATTCTTCCATCATTTAGGTTGGTTCATGAATTGTTGTCTTTCTGGACTATTTTTGCACATTTGTATTGTGTTGGTCGTGTCAGGCGCCACCTTCACGGTAAGTGGACTGCATTGCGACGTTTCAAACCTCGTTGAATCAGAGCTGAAATAATTCTTTGGGTTACAATGACAATGTTTAAACAACTTCAATATTGCTCCTGAACCGAGGCATGCCTCAAACGTCTCTTCGGTATCCCCTATAATTTAAATTTCAACTCGATGCATTTTCGTTGTCAAAACCTTGATGTCATTTGTGGACAACATTGGAGAAATTATGTTATCAAGGAGCAAATACTACTCTTAGTCTTGGCCTTGTTCAGATACTGGATTTGAATTGCTTGAATGAAAATGATGCATTACTTTTTTTAGTTGAAGTAATTCCAGTACTGCCATTGGACTCTTTAAGCGGTTAAAAAGTCCTGACGTGCTTGAGTTGGCCAGGCCATACCCACAACATCATGTATAAGTCTTGAAAATATTCCTGCCATGAATATTGAATGACATGGCTTGATTTGTCACTCGAAAACGTTGGATAGTTACCTCAGCAAATCAAGGAAAACATGTACCAAAAACTGGCTCAAAAGCCTCACAAGACTCAAATATGTAACAATGCGACGATCACATTCTTAATAGTGGTCTAAACATTTTTTTTTTTTTTTTGGAATGTCTGTCTTGGCCAGATGTTGTTTTAGGAACAATCTTGATTTGCATGTTAGACCTTCTTTGTACAACGCGAGTGTTTGGTTCTAACATCAACCCCCAAGCGAGGGTGATAATATATCGGGAAACATCACCTCATTTTCGAAAGTTTGTTCTGGGTAATGTCGAATACTGGCACTTAATCTCGTAGACATCTTATTAGCAACGAAATCATATTCCACATCCTTATAAATCATTCGAAAATTGATACGCCTGTAGGGACTGTAGGATTCCTCAACTTCAATCGTACTCTGATACTTCAACACTGACTAATCGATGCCAGAGCACAAGTATAGGTGCTAGAGTGAAGCTGATGTGACACCATTTTTTAGCACGAATTAGTGTCAATAGTTTGAACAAATGAAAATCAACGTCAACGCTAGCTTTGACTCAAGGATCAGCTGTAGCAACTCACAAGGGATGTTTGACGACTTTTAAATGAGAGGTTTTTACATTTGGAAAAAGTTTTGACGCACCATTGACACCAAAATTTGAACGTTGAGCAAGAAAAATGTCGATGCCATGAATGCAATCAGCAAAATATGTTGTGAACAATTTGGTCAACTTCATTTTGATGAAGACGTGCTGATTAAAACTCGTCACGACGAACCTGAGAATTTGCAAGGCATTTCGTCCATGGTCTGTCGCGAAGCATGGATAAAAAGTGCTACACCAAATGCCAGAAAATCAGCGCTTTTTGCGATGTCTTAGTATAATTCCGTGTAGTTGAGCTTACGACGAATGTTACTTTCAAATTTTAACCATCCATCACTCACCCAGGTCGTGCTTTTAAGCTCGAGATTATAATCCACGTCAACGGATATAACGGAATAACCAAAACCGAAGAATGCATTGGTTGTAATTGAATGACTTGTAAGCTTACAAATGGACAATGTGGCGACATTTCGACTTTTGTCTCGCATTGGGATTCCACATATACGAAAGGGGAAGGGGAGTTGACCAGAAGTAACAAATCAGTAAAGATTCAGAACATAAATGCCAATAGGTTTCTGGATCAAACGATTCATTCCAAGTTTACTCCGTAGCTTCTAACTCAATATCCATAGTTGGTAGAAACTCAAGATCTTCTTTGCGGGCTGGTTTGACCACAAGGTTGGCATGTGTCTTTGTGGCTGAAATGTCTTATATTGGTGCCTCGTGATATTAGAAATAGAAACAATTAGGACATTGTCATTATTCAGGAGTCAAACTCTAATCGTCGCTATTTATATTTGCACTTCAGTTGATATGTCTAAAGTAGGTGTAACGTTAGCAATCACATTCAATGACAAAGGTCCCACCATGAGTGAGCTTTTAGGTTTAGTTTATTGAACGAAACTGCTATATTTCTCGGGATACACCTCGAGGCGCATAAGCGTGGAAGCATTATTTTTTACTTTTCATGTCTCGCGCTTGTATGTGCAGCTCAATCGCCATATAGCAAGCTCTAGAGCAATTGTGTCACAAAGCCTCAATAGCGGCTACAGAGGTTTCTGTATTACCTGCTATCTATTGGATCACCAGTTGGTCTAGATGTAGTCCATACATATGAACCGATTGATGGTTTCTACCCTGTATAATGTAGTTACATCAACCTAGATTGTTCTTTTTTTTGCATGGGATGGCACTAGCAAACGCCTGACAGGGATTTGTTTATTTAGCATAACCGGCACTTCAAATATGTGTGACGGGCACCTTGGTTTCGCAGGTGAGTTGTCACCAATCACGCGTCTTTTAAGCGTCGAAGATATAAAATCGACGATGAACATGGTCTGATTTCACGGCTAGACAACCTCCGACCCTTCCACAAAATTTCCCCATTGCCGAGCGTGGAGTAATATTATGCATTCAAGAGATGAAATATCTCTATCAACCATCTACACCGCGGCATGCAAACTTTTCCCAGCGAACGTATGAAATTTCGTTCAGAAGCCCTTGATTGAAATAAACGAGGTCAAATATGGCTCGACATGCCTTGAAACTTATCATTTGATTACCTAGCCACGGCTTTTTAATCATTGAGACTGGTTACGACGTTCAGATCTGAAATGTCATCGTCAGTGGATATAAGCCATCCCAACCACAAATTCCCTACAAAACAAAGTCAAATTGGTTCTATCCACTTGTTTCTGTATTATGAGATCATTTCCAACATGGGTATACTCGATATCTTTCGGTTCTTTTGAGATTGTCGCATGTCGATGTCATGCGATGAGAGCAGAGAGTAAAACTGAACCATTGAGCAATATTCAAAGACTCCTGATTAACTATATTGGCCCTTGTGGAAGGCAAAGATTGATTTACATGACTTGAAACTATATGATTTGTGGGGAAAATGGGGATCCTCTACGGCAATAAATTGCAATCTCGTCGCTAGTATTGCACAACGCCCCAAAAGATTGCAGAGATAAATTCTTCAGGTGATTGCCGTGACAACCATGATCGAATCTAATTTTTTTGTCGTTATTAGTGTGTGATTATGGGTCTACTTGCCCCGTGATTATCACTGCATGTCACCTTTTGCGACAATAATGACCAACTCACGATTGAAACAATTAAACCTTCGATGACCTATCTCGTGGAAGTCACACTACTGAAGATACCACACAGGAATCACTCGACCCCCTTGAGTTTTCGTGGATAAGGAAAAGCATCGTACGCGTCGATTCTAAGCCATGACAGATGCGCCATGCAAGACGATCGTCAAACATTCCAATACGGTGACGGTAGACGATGGAATGTCTAATGTGTAGTAACAATGAGATTGTTTTAGAAGGTGTCAGTGTTCGACCCTCAATAAAATCACCGCGGGTGGCTAGTGTTTTGGTTGAACCCAAATGGTCCACTTATGTAGACGTACATAAACGGGCAATGACGTGAGGAACTAGCAGTGGACAGTGTAGGCGTACAATACAAAGAAATGTGATCTGCGGGGCTCATGAGGGTGTACTTGACGGCGGTCCTCACATACATGAAAGGGGGTCGGTCAGGCAGTTGCCATGTAAACTGCCGGCAGGGCGTGACCGGCGGGCGCTTTACGACGACGCGCCCACCATCAATGGAGTAGATCCATTTCTTAGACTAGCGTAATCTCCGGTCTTGTAAACTTGCAAAAGGCCGATATTTTTTTCCTTCGTAGTTTCGTCGCCAGAGCGTATCGCTCTTAAATATTTTTTCCGCCCACCCTGCCGCCTGGTTTGTCCCACTTGTGGTTGCAGGATATTATCGGGCAGCGCCTGGAGGGTGTAAGATATAAACCTGATATTTTTTCCTCAATGCGCTGGTGTTCAAACTCGCTTACTCAGTCGGCCACCGTTCCCTTTCTCCCCTCGTCGGTGTCCACCCCCAGTCCGCTCTCCGTTGGCGTTCAGCTTCTCGTCTCCACCCCCTAACCGGCTCCGGCTCGTTCCACCATGCACTAGACGCCCCCCAGCTCCTTCTTGACTTCGGACTTTAACCAGATTGATGAAGCGGGAGTATCTGGACCCCCACCACCCTCCGCCGTTCCCTTCCTACCCCAGCGAGGACTACGGCTGCTTCGACATCGAGCAGCCGCCACCGCCCGTGCTCCGACACTCGCTGGGCTCGGGCCCGATGCCGCCGCCATTGGAGCCAGAGCAACACTTCTCCCAGTCGGGCTACAACTACCAAAACGATCCCACAAGCTCTACATCCGCCGCCACCTTCACCGCTCCCGCGACGGTGCCACCGCCGCCACCAATGCTGTTCCCCAGCCTCGCCCTAAACCAGGCGGCCCCGCCACTTGCTACCACAACCGCCTCTAATATTTCGTCATCGCTAGCTACTGCTCTGTCTACTGCACTACCAGCTGCTAATTTAGCTTTGCTTCAAGCACCGTTGTCGACAGGGTCGCTGTCTTCTGGGTCGCTGTCTGTGACCCCCTCCACCAAGGCCTCCACCACTGCCACCCTGCAGCCGCCATACGCCACTCCCATACGCTCAACGTATGGCCAAGTGTACCCGCCGCTACCACAAGTGCCGTATCTCCCCCAGTTAATTTCTCAACCGGCCCCTTCTCAGCCTCAGTCGGTGCCTCCGCCTCAACCTCAACAGGTGGTGGTGGCGCCCAACGAGCCCTATCCCGATCTCACCACATTTGTCAACATGAATCCCAGCGTAAACGCCCCGCTGGTTGACGTGGTGTTTAATGACCAACAAACGTGTCCCCAATGTGGTAAACTGAATTTCTCGAACTTACGCCGCCATTTAAAAATCCACCGCAGCACCGCGAAATTCCAATGCCAGTTCCCGCGCCTGGTGTGCAACTTCAAAATCAATAGCTACAACCGCAGCTTTGATTTTAAGCGGCACTTGGTCAACAAGCACTTCAAATTTGATGACAAAAAGCTTTCGAAAGCGGTGTCGTCGTTACTGCAGAAGGCGGAGTACCTCGGACACTGTCCATGTGGCTGGCACGGTCTGTGCCAAGAATGGCTTGACACCCATATTTTAGTGGACGACGACAATCCCCAGCGCTGTCCCTATTACCACCGGTATTGATGCTGGACATTATGTGGCTACGCTGTCACAATTTGCATGTTAGTTGTATTTGCACAAAGAAGGTCATTGGAGTTGGTTGTAACACAGTTGTTTGCATTAAATGCAATGGACGACTTCCATTGTCACTGAAAATTATTGTTATCATTTTAATAGGTATCCGAGGAGTTTTTTTGCGTTTTCGATATTTAGCGAATCTAATACTACCAATTAATTAGGAATATCCAGGTAAATAATTGATGAAATAAAGAACTTAATTTATCGTTGTGATTAGCTAATTTTTCCATTAATTATCAGCACAAGTTTTGCTTGATTCATCTCACAGGCGAGGAATTTTGTTGTGGATACACATGTCTTTTGATGTTAACATCGCCAACAACACGAAACACCCAATTGAAAAAATTGTCTCCCTTTTAATCACGCCATGAAAACACGTAAAAAATTAATTGGGAGTCAAACTGATGCTTGTTTGGTGGGACAGGGGCCAAAGTCGGATATATCACCGTATGATCAAAGGTGCCCACGCCTGTTCGAATTCCGACAAAACGCCGTCCATACCAATTATAGAACCCTAAATACAGTGTTTTTAGCACTATATTTGTTAAGATTCACGGTGTCTGATGGCTTTAGGAGCCACGAAAATGTCTGTCGGAATTAGAACTGGGACAAATCGCCGTAGATGCATTTGGTTATGCAAGATCATCCTGGGATACCATCGGGATAAGAATCATCAGACTCCCAAGGTGGTTGCACGACGGGACCATGGCTCGGAAGGCACTATAGTGGTCATGAAGAAGTCGTCGGCCACAACACGAGCAAATTTTTACTCATACATATTCACCACACCCATATAGCATGGAAATTGCAGTAACAAAAAAACCAATATCTTAAAAAATATCCGCCACCCTATACGAAAGTGGCGTCTAAACAACAATGGTCGGGGATGAATGGCGCCCGCCACCCAAAGTTTCGGAGTTCATCCGGGAGTCTTACGCCGATCAATGGCCAACAGCGCGGTAGTGCCACCCCGCTGCCGCAAATGAAGTCCAGATGTAGCTGGTGGGGGCCGCACCTCGTCTTGAGCTGCGGGGGGTTGCTTACCGCTTTGCGCGCTTGACGTCAATGCACATTACCTAATGGCACATGCCTGTGCGTCGTCAGCACCCATCCCCGCGGACCGCGACGGAAGGCTTTTGCCCCACCAGCGCCCGCCCGACTCGGACTACACTGCAGACACCTGTGATTCTCACACGGCAAATGGTCGTACATCATGCCCAACCGGGAAATTCGAGCGAATTCCGTTTCCGAGCCCACCAATCGTGTGCTCGCCGCCACACAACTGGGGGCACAAGGGGCTAATTCTTGGCAAAAACGTTCGTGGCAGACCCTCCGTCTACTCAGCGCCGTCGACGTCAGCTACGTCACCAAGCACACCCCATCGCTGTACCCCCTGACAGCTATGCTTAAATCCCAAACCAGAAGAGACGCGATCAAGGCAGTATATGAGGCGATATTTAGAGGAGGAATGGGCGAAGGTATCAGGTGGGGGAGTGAGTTCGTGTATTTGTTAAAAATCCGTGGCGTTCCCGTGTTGTTTACTTCGAGAACTCGTGGTGTGTCCATGATGTTTCCGTGATGATTACTGCTATATTAGTTGGCGGTGGTGTTGACCACGAGCTCCTCGGTTACCGACACTTGGATGTTGTCTTCGTTTGGGCCATTCTGGAAGTGGTGGTGGTGGTGGTGTTCGTCGTCGTCAATGTCGTCGTCGTCATAGTCGTGGTCGTCATCCTCTTCGTCCTCGTCGTCTTCTTCGTCGTCTTCGTCCTCATCGGCTTCCAGTTCACCCGTATAGTCGTCGTCGTCATCATCAAATTGACCGGGCATGTGGAAGTTCTGCTGGGCATCCAAGAACTCGGACTCGTCGTACTCGTCGTCCAGGTGGTGCTGGTCGTCACGCTTCAGCAGCAGCCCGCCAAAGCTCATGAAACTCTTCAACGGAGCGAAACCGCCCAGGGTGGGGCGAGCCGGTTTTGAGGGGGACACCGACGAAGTCTTGTTCTGGGGGGTCGGAATCAGGTTCACCAGGTCCAGCAGCGCCACCGCGGCAGTGCGGCCCCAAAGACGAGGTGAGCGGGGAGGCAGCAGCGGCACCGAGCGGCCGTTATCGTCGTCGTCACTGATATCGGTCAAGTTGTCAATATCGGGCTTGGTGTACCAGTAGTTTAACTCGGTAAACCGCTCATCCATATCAATGGGGACAAACCGTTCACCCGGAGGCAGTTTCGGCTGCTGGTCCTCTTGATTCTTCTTATGCTCCAAGTACTCGCTGTACTGTAACTTATTGTCCAACGTAAGGGAGAACGTCGTCGCTTCTCGGAGAGGGGGGAAGAACAAGTCGACAATCTCGCCGATCTTCAAGTACGACGAGTGCAAACCGGCAAGCTCAAGAAGCTCCATGTGCACTTCACCGTTAGGGTTGATGGTAAAAATCCGGTGCAGCGGGATTTGCACACTGCGGTAGGAAATGGCGTCGGTGATTCTGTTACCGAACCCAGCGTAAAACGGTGTACGCCGGTCATCGAGGTCGTTAGTCGGTACCACTTCTTCGGGAGAGTAGTATAACCGCTTAATATCCTGTAAACACGCCATCTTAAACACTTCCGGCTGCTTTAAGATCACTTCTCGCTTCAACGCCGCAAAGGTACGATCGGGACTGAGAAGGACGGGACCGGCGGGTAACCGGGTGTTCATGTCCTGACTGATCCCCTTTAAGTACTGTCGGGTAGCGTCCAGCTGGCCCACCAGCCGCGCTGTAAGGTAGATGATATTGTACCCGTTTTGGCGGATATCTTGGAAAAGACGAGCCACACCAGGGTGGGTCCAGTCTCTACCGACCAAATTGAAAATATGGCCTAACGCGTCCAGCTTGGTGATGGTACCATCGATATCGGAAATGACAATGGGGATGTTCAGCTTCCACAAGAAACACAGCGCCTCGACCTCGGCCGTCAGCCCGTAGGCAACCTTAAACCGTAAGTGGTTCTCGCCGTACTGGAGGCCCAAGTGCTTCAACTGGTCCAGCGTAAGCCGCAACGTCTTGAAATAGGTCTTATCTGGGTCCTGGTCGTCACAGTGGGTGGTGGTGCGTGCGGGAGCCGCGGGAGAATGCGGTTCACTGGCGGCCTGGCTGGGCGATAACCCGCCGTAGTTGTTGGTTTCATCTTGGTTCAAGATACGAATGGTGCCGTCGTCGTCGCGGTGGATGATATGGTCCCACACGTCGACCCCGTAGTCGTCCAGTTCCAGCAATTTAAGCTTGGAGATCTCGTCGACAAACATCTTCTGAAAGTTCTCGTTCAGGTTCTCGATGTTCTTCTGCGACAGCGGCTTGTACCCGTCCATATCGAGGACGATATCGCCGTTGACGTCGACTTTGGACGGGATATTGAGCTTCTTGGTCACCTCGTGGACGTGTTCGAGCAACGGCAGCCGCGGCAGTTTCGGCAGCGCCGGCTGTTTGGGGTCTTCGTCGGTCAATTCGATCTGGGACTCAATGTCGTCGGCCTGATTCACAGCGTCGTTTTCGTTCAAATTGAGGGTCAAGGGCTCCGGCGGGTCGCTGTCGCCGGGCAGCGGCGTGTGCAGCGGCAGCAGCGCTCCCAGCAGCGGGGCAAGCAACGGCAGCGTCAACACCAGCTTCAGCAACTGGTCGCCGCTGGTGCCGTCGGCCTCGAACACAAAGAACGCCTCGCCCTCGTCGCCAAGCTTCATCGGCAAGTCCGTCTTCATGCCATTGACATACACGTCGACCTTCTTGTGGCTGGGCTTCAAGATCTGTAAAAGGCCGAAGCGGACGTGCCATGGCGAACAGTGCAAGGTGCCGTCGGGCTGCTCGATCACGACGACGTCGATGGCGCCCAGGAGGGTCGCCGGGTTGAGCAGGGCAAACTGGTTGTACACGTAGCCCCCAGCACGTTCAAGAAACTGCATGGTGGCGCTGGCTGGGCGGGTGTCGGGGGAATTGGGGTGGTGCTTAGGTGGTTGGCGCCTTAACCTAGGTGATTGCGGGGGTGAGCACGATCCGAGTGCGACCGAGGTTCTCGGGAGGAAGTGGGCGAATATTTAGTGTTTTTGGGCAGTAATTGGAAAGTCAGCGGTATGGTAGTGATGAGAAAATATAGGGGAATGTAATGGTGGTGGCGAATTCGGGTAATCTTACCGTTTAGGCCACTTTCGGTGGGGTGAGTTTATCGATGGCAAGGGGGTCGCACGAGACTAACGCGAACGGGAACAATAGCCATGATGGCATCTCTAGCTCAAAACGTCCAGTTACTAACCCCAGGGACACAAAGCGTAGCTTGAAATTACTAGTTTACCCGTCTAATTTGAGAGGAAACGACCGCTGTGTCCCGTCAATGGACCAATGGCCTCAACGTGGCGTTAGTCCCGGAAGCGACGGGGGTGAATGTGATCCCGCGGAACAGGAAGCTCCGAGAGGCTTAGGTACTGGCCCGACAAAATAACGGCTGTAAGTTATTATTTGATTAGGTTTACCCTACGTCATCAGGGTCAGGTGATGAGTCTGGGTGGTGAAAATCACATGGGCGTCACCATCCACTTCTCATCGATCCGAGACCAACTCCGAGTAGTGCGGCATTGATCACCAAAATTGACTATCAAATTGACCACCAAATTGACTATCAAAATGACTAAAATACATCTTACTTACTCAATTATGGTAGTCGTTAATTGATACTTAGTATATTCTAGGCGGCGATGGCGGTGGTGTTCACCGGGTCCTTGCCGCTGGCAATGTTACACTGGTGCATCAACCGCTTCTCGTCGGCACCGTGGTTGACCCCCTTGAACTCACCCGTGACCAGGTGCCACACCCCTTGGTTGAAAAACACCACGAGGTCGCCCTGGTTCCACGCGTAGGGCAACACGTTCTCGGGGGCAATTGCCGGTCTCATCAACAGGTGGACTTTGTTTCTCGCGTCCTCCAACTCGAGGGTCGAGACCAGCCCGTCCTCGTTGGTGGTGTGGAGCTTGTGGATGCAGCACCCGTGCACTTGCAAGTGGGGCTTCCCCGTTTCCGGGTTCGTCCACACCATGGGCAACTTCTTCACTTTCAGCGGTTCCCACTCGGGGAGCTCGTCCAACTTCGTCTCTTTGCCCTCGCTGACCATCGTCAACCCGTCGCTGGTGGCTTTGGCCGGGCCAATGAAGATGTACGGGTGGGGGGCGTACTCGACGGTGGTGTTCAACACAAACCGCTTCTCGTCGTCAGAGAGCCGCTCAAACGCGTGCTGGCCCAGCACGAAGCACGTCGCCCCCTGGGCCAACTCCAACTTGTCGCCGTTGTCGTACTCGATGTAGTTCTTCTGCGATTGCGGGGGCACTTTGATCCCCAAAAGCGTGGTGACCAAGGGGGGGCTCAAGTCGTACAACGCCAGGTCGATGTGCCATCTGTAGAAGCGGGTGAGCTTGTCGTTGACGATCTCCAGCTGGGAGAGCGGCGAGTGGTGGAAGGTGGTGTGCAGCGGGTGGGTCAAGCTGATGGCCTCGCCGTTCTCGTTGCCGGGCTCGTCGGCGGCAAACTCGCCCTGGCCCAAGATCTGGACCTGCGGCTGGTCCTTGACGGTGCACCCGTCTTTGCGCAACACCGACTTGTCGTGGTGGAACTCCTTGCCGTGGCCATAGCCGCCGGTGTGGTCTTTGGGCTCGGGGATCAGCGGATCGAACCGTTTCGTCAACAAATACTGGTCGTTGGGACTCAATTGGGCCTGGTCGGGGATCACCACCACGCAGTGGGTCAACACCGCCAGCTTGAGCTTGGCAAAGTCGTCGTCGGTGAGCTTGGTGGGGTTGTTGTTGGCGTACTCGGGGAGAGCGATCTTGGCGCCAAAGGGCTCGAGGGGGGTCACGTTGACAGTGGCAGTGTCTGGCATGATGATGAGGAAATCAAACTTAGGAGAAAGAGGTGAGTGAGTGAGGTGTATATATAAGGTTGGGTGGGGTAGGGGGGGTCCGCGTGTGTTATCGCGGGGAGTGCGTGTTATCAGTGCGGAGATCCCGGCGGCCCCTCCGCGGCTGATCCGCCGGCACTCCCGGTTGGCGCCCGCGCGCAACTTGTTTGTAGCGACTTGACCACGGACATGTCCGTGTTCGAGTCCCCGCCTCGGTGTTTTCACCACCTTCACTCTCTAAAACTCAATTAGGGGGTGGACAAGCGAGGGTGCTCCCGGAACCTCCAGGAGTGATGTGGTTGTCTTTGAGGTATTCTTCAGTGCCACCGGCACCTGCGCCGCTGCCGGCAGCTTCTCCCGACAGTCGCGGCGCCGTAAGTGTCGCGACAATCGACTAAGTCCCCTGAGACAGAAAAGACACAATCCACGGGTTCTGGTCATGGTGTTGAGTCCATGTCGGGGTAAATTGGTCCTCGATATTGTCGCGGTCTTCAGTCTTGTGGATCACTCTCTCAGTAAGGTCAAAGCCGTAGTTTAAAAGCGCCTTGGGAAAAATGTCTTTACAAATTTCACCCGTGAAAAACACCATGCCGCCGGAAAACGACCACGGGTGGGCAGTGAAAAACCCGGAAAACGACCACGGGTGGGGGTCACCTCCTGTCCCCCTTGGCCTCATGTCTCATGCCCGGGGGACTCTCGGGCAGTCGCCGATGCTCTAAGGGCTATATTTCAGTGGTTATAGATATTTTTTGCGAGATCACCACCGCTGGGGCTATAGCCTTGTCGTTCTTGATTGTCGCCTCGAGGCGGCGGGTGGCGGGTTCTGTGCTCTTAGCCACCGGCAGCGATGCGGTGCGACATCGAGCGATATTGTCGTGCCCGAAAGCGTCGTGCATTCGCCACCGCAATCAATGTCGTGGCACAGCAGACACTGGCATCGCTTAACAGACTGTCTGAGACGCCCCAAACAAACGATGCCGACACGGTTACTAGCCACGAGGCCTGCGCGATCCCGGGGAAACGCCGCTCCCGCTCCGAAACACAATCGCCGGCACGACACTCCCCCTCGAGCCTGACGACGACACATTGGTAACCGTACTTTACAGCCTTCCCATCGATAATGGTGGTGTCACGTTCTGCCTAGGGTGGGGGCATAATAAAACGTTATTTTGTAGCGGCCTCACATGTCGCAAAGTTTTTATTATTTTCCGCATGCTAGCAAAATATGGACCCAGCGCTGCCTAACGAAAGCGAGGGTCAAGCGTAGGAATCCATGATCGCCAGTATTATCGCCATGTATACACAATTTTCCCCCACCACACCGTCACCCGGGTGCGTCGCTGGCTGTTTGTGGAAATAGGCCCCCCAAACCCCCTGTGGGCCGTCGCTATGGATGGCTTGCCCCCATGGCAATCGTCTCCCCGTGGCTGGTACAAGCAGCCCCGACGCCGTGGCTAGTGGTGTCGGAGACATAGGGGTACATACCTTGTCCCACTACTGGTGCCACGACTTCGACGGTGTCGCAGATACCGTTTTTTTTTTGTCACCCCTAGTCGGCGACACCGGGCCCCAATCCCCGAGAGGCCCATTGTAGTTGGGGGGCGGGTCGGGAGTGGAATTACGAACACCGGGCCGGGGACTAACAATGCGTCTCTCCGACTTTCCCACCGAGTAGCGGCTACGGGAAAAAAAAACTGTCAAATCTACAGCTAAAATGCGCTTAAAAACGGTGTCTCACATCCATCAGAGACATCGTCAACAAACCCCACTAGCCACCCAAAGTCTCGTCGCCGACGGTGTGGCAAGTGGAGGAGCATATTATTGCCCTGCGCCAACGTGGTCGTCGAGGAGGGGGGGGAGGTTTCATACCGTGGTAGAAAATAGGCTTTTGCCGTGGTGGTGGGGGCGACGGCGCTCTTCTCAGCGGACGGCCCAAGGGTTAAAAATAATCGGACGGTGTACGTGGAGAATGACAGCTGCTAGCCGCATCTGCTTTCGGGGTGGAATTGATGTCCTGCACATAAGCTATAGCGACGCATGCTGGCGAGTGATTGCCCACGCAGAGCGCCCGCTGGCCCAAAGCAGCGAACACGACTTGCCGAGCCACATCCCCCCTCGTGGCGCTCGTCCCGTTTTAGACGTGGCCCGCCTGGGCCTTCCGAGACAGAGAGGAGGTCGTATCGGTCGTATAATTGCGGGGGGCCGGGGGCTCGTAATCGGCGGCAACGTTCCCCACTCCTCCTCCGCACACCCATATTTCTACTAACTACCCTCACCGATCCTCGTCTTCGAGAGTTCCCAGAGTCGCCCGCGGAGCCACCTGAAACGAATTCCGTCTTTTTAACTTCTCGGTAGTTTCCGTCATTGACCAACAATACCATCGATTGGTAAAATCTAGAACCAGAATTTAGAATTTTCTGACAATTTCCCAAATATTTCCAGATTAATGCTGAAGATGTGTCTGAGATCTACTGCGTCTAGTTTGATCATTTATTGAATTTGGCAACACCACAATAATCGTGTATGGGTCTATTTCACTCTACTCGACGCTGTTGAGGGCCCGCTCAAACTCGGTGTGGCGCGACTCGATCTCGTCGACGAGCTTGGCGATGCGCTTACGCGCCAACGGGAAGTACGGGTTGACCAAGATCGGTCTCAAGTCAAACCGGTTGTCGTCGGGCAGGTACGCCTCGGCGTGGTACAGCGGCGTGATCGTCGTCATCTTGTGGCGGTTGACGGCGTAGAAGAAGAAAAACCGCTGCACCTTTTCGGCAATCTGGCGGGCGCTCAAGTTGTACGGCGGCTGCAGCCACTGGTGGTAGAGCTTGATGAACATCAGTGTCGGCCCGCACTTTTCCACCTTGCGCAAGCGGCCAAACGCCGAGAGCTCGTCGTAGGTCATGCCCATATCGGCCTCGTCCAGCTGGACGTAGGTGTCGGTGGTGGGCTCGAGTTCGGCGGTGGGGGTGGCGTCGAGGAACTGGCGCAAAATCGGCAATTCCAACGCCGTTTCCGCCCACGAAATGAACTTTTTCAAGTCGTTTTTCAGCACGCCGCCAATGGGGTTGATGTCGGCACTCGAGCAGTCGTACTTGGTCAAGTAGCCCCGCAAACACTCGTCGACGTTGGCGCTACCAAGCACCAAGAGGCCCAGGGGCTTCAGTCTCGTCCACGGCAAAAGCTGGGCAAACAAGTACAGCATCACCATCCGCAACCGCGCCTGGATGTTCTGCAACGCCAAGTTTTCCGTCGACGACCCGCCAAACACCTTGAACACGGGGCGCTTGCCGGTGGCCACTTCAAACAACAGCACCACCAGCAGGACGATGGTGTCGATGTCGATGTCGATGTGGTACAGCCCGATGTCGCTGGCGAGCTGTTTGGCCCGTTCCCTCGTCTCCTTCAGCGAGTTCTGGGTGCCCATATACGAGGTGTAGAAGAGCTCCTTGGCGATGGCTTGAGGCGAATCGGGGGTAAAGTCCTCGATGCGAGTCAAGTCTCTCACATCCTGGAGCGCCTGCTTGTTACCAGCTTTGATAGCGTCGTAGACCATACGGCACATGCTGTGGACAATCACTGCCGTCGAGCACAGATCGAGCCCGCCCAGCAAGGGGAGGAAAAACCCACCTGTCTTCGACCGTCTCAAGTAGTCCCACAACCAGCACGCCGGTCCCTTGGCGATCTCCACCGCCGGTTCCGGGATGACCGCCTTGCGCCGGTTCAGCGGCGTCACCATGGGGTCGAACTCGTGTGCCAGAGGACACATGTACACGTTGAAGGCGTCGATGGTGTGGTAGGGGTCGTCGGCGACGCGCGCCAGCTGGTAGTTCAGCGAGATCTGGTGGCGGTACGCCCTTACCTCGTCGAGGTCGACGGTGGCGGTGACCACCTCGATGTCGTCGATGGAGAACGAGTGGCCCTGGCCGACGACGTCGCCGTTGATGATGATACAGGCGCTGCCGTCGTAGTATAACCGGTCCCCGTCGCACCCTCGCTGGTTGGCGTATAAGTAGACACCGCCACACTTCTTCGTCGCCTCGGTGATAAGCTCTAAGCGAGTGATCAATTTGCGGAGCTCGTGGTGGCTCCCCAGCGAGTTGGTAAAAATCTCGACGCCGGCAAGCGCCATCGAGATGTGGGGCGATTGCGGGGTGAAAAGCTCCTCGCACGTCTCACACCCGATCCTGGTGTCGGCGGTGTTGATGATACAGTCGCCAATGGGGACGCTGTGGTCGCCGGTGAGGCGCGCCACCGAGTCGGGCAACTGGTACGTCTCCCAGTACTTGGGCTTGCACCAGGGGGTGAAGTATCTCATTTCACGGTAGTTGCCGTCGTTGGCCAAGTAGAGCTTGGGTCTGATCAAGAGGATCTTGCCGTCGTAGGAAATGAGGCGGCAGTTGTACTTGATCAGGTTGTGGATCACGGGCATCCCGATATCCAAGAGAATGCCATGGGTCTCCTTATTGGCCAAGATCTCCTCGTACATGATCCAGCAGTTGTCGTAGAGCTCCGTCTCAGCGAAGTGGTCGAGACAGCCGTAGCCACACACCTCGAGTTCCGGCCCCACCCGGAGCTGGGCCCCGGCGGCTTTGGCCTGGCGGATCAGCTCGACGATGCGGTCGCGGTTGCCCTCGAAGTCCAACGCCCACTGGTTCAAGTTGCACGTGGCAATGGTGGTGAAACGGCCCATGTCAATTGAGTGGTTTGGGGGTAGGGTTTAGGAAGCAATGGAAGTGGGTAATCCGGGAGGGTTAAGGGGGGTCTCTCGGGAGATGCGGAGACGAGGTGTGCGAGCCTTGGCGTTGGTGGTGTCGGGAGCCTCCCGGCGTCGGAAGTATCGGAAACGCGTACTACCGCAAAATCCTGAGTCGGAAATGATTCGACATCGGGAGTGACGGAACTATCCCGACGATACGATCCCAACACACTCTCACCCGTCACCGGAGTTAATGATTCGACAACACACGCAAGTTACGGGCGCCAGCCTTGCCACGTTTTTCCTTTGTAAAACATGCCATGTGGCAGCGGGAGCATTTCCGGAGATGTGCCATATGCCTCGAAGTCTTCGATAATACTTGTGGTTAGGGCCCCTGTCGTGTGATCCTATGACGTAATCTCGTTCGATTCGACATTTCTGAAGATTTTGCATCTAGGCACAACGACAGAACTGCAAATCCCGACCCGACGTTGCCACGAAAAAATGCTGCTGATTTACCGGCAAAAGGAAACCCGCTGTTTGTGTCTCAGGCGGGCGGAATCGACTGCTTCGATAGGAAAAGCATAGTAAAAGAAAAGGTTATAAGAAAACTACGAGAAAAACCTCACCACCACAAATGCAAATCTCCAACCGAGTTTGTCATTGCCCACCGCGTACATCTTGCTGGTGATTATAACTGGAGGATCCTGTCCATGCCTCGACCGCCGCTACCCCCCGACATCTGCCGTGGCGCAGTGTCGCTCCGCCACTTGTGTCGTGGCGCTGGTGGCACATATCCGTCATCAAACTTTCAACCTGCCAATCCAGGCCGGGTTCCACGCCTTACGATTGCTTCCACACGTTATTGTTCTAGAATAGCCGGGCAGTTTAACATACTCTAAATATAATTTTTTTTTTCATTGCTTTAGAACCCTGTATTCTCCAAGAAATTATTTACGGCTAGCCATCGGTACGTCCCCGCAGCAGCGTGCGCACGCACTAGCCAGTGTCGTGCGCCACAAATGTCCGGTGGTGTGTCTGATGTCCGACACAGGAAAAAAGTGTCGGGTGTCGCTAGCGCCAATATCTGCCATGTCTGCGTAGAATCCCCACTGTCCGCCTCAGGCGAGGAAAATGTCTGCCTGCCCCCCATGTCGCCTTAGGCTTCCAAGGCTCGCTTCTACAGCGTCACTTCTGCCGTGTTTCCCCAGACGCTTGACGCCTGCGAACCTGCGCGGAAAAACGGCTGCTTGATTGACCCACCATTACTAAACCGACACTTTTCTACGCCTGCCATTACTCAAGAGGAATTTAGACTTTTTCTATATGCTACATTACGACAGCCTCTGGTTGAGGTTGAGGGGCCCGCCGAACCGGTTGCCGAACCGGTTGCTGAGGCGGCGCCGGTGCCGGCGCCATCGGCGTCATCCCCCATTTCTCAAGCATCTGCTTATCCTCGTCCCACCCCAGACACATTGTCGTCAACATTCTCTCGCCGGTAAAGATGGCATTGCAGCCGGCCATGAAACAGAGGAACTGTTCCGGCTCCTTCATCGTGTAGCGGCCGGCGGCGAGGCGCACAATCAGCTGGGGCATGATCAAGCGGGCGGTGGCGATGGTGCGCAAAATGGCGTCAAACGAGAGCTTGCGGGTCTGGTCGACCAACGTGGCCATCGTCGCTTCCACCGGGGTCCCCTTGATCGGCACTAGCCGGTTGATCGGGAGCAGTTCCGGGTGCGGCGTCATCGTGGCTAGTGTGTGGAGGAACGACACATGGTCCTGTTCCGTCTCCCCGAGGCCCAAAATGCCTCCCGTACACACTTTAATACCGGCGTCAGCGACGTTTTTAATCGTGTTTAATCTGTCGTCAAACGACCGGGTGGTGATGACGTTAGGGTAGTGTTCGCGGCTGGTGTCGATATTGTGGTTATAGGCAGTGAGCCCTGCCGCCGCCAACTGCCGAGCCTGAGCCTCGTCGATCATCCCCAAAGTGACACACGTCTCCATCCCCAACTCGTCGTTGATTCGCGTCACCATTTCGCCGATGCGTTTCATCGCCAGCTTTCTTCCTTTCATTTCTCTCCACGCCGCCCCCATGCAAAACCGGGTCAGCCCGTTGGCCCGGGCCTGGCGGGCTTTGGCCATCACCGTCTCAATATCAACCATCTTTTCCGCTTTGACCCCCGTGTCGTAGCGAGACAGCTGGGCACAGTAGCCACAGTCTTCAGAACACCCGCCCGTCTTAATATTGAGCAAAGTACAGAGCTGGACCTCGCGCGGGTTGTGGAACCGCCGGTGCTGCAATTGCGCCTGGTGGACCAATTCCATCAACGGCGTGTGGTATATTTCACTAATCTCGGCTTGAGTCCAGTAGCTAGTCACTCCGCCTTGAGTGGCTTTAGCCATGGCACTAGACATACACCGCACACCAAAAACTGCTCTCATCGAGGGATTGACGGTACAACGGCTGATTCTCAACATGATGGTGATTAGGGGTAAAAAATCTAATCGATGTTGGGTCGGTTGGCCAAATATATGTAGGCGTTACAGCCACCCGCCTACAGGACGATAAACGCCGATTGGTTTTATATATGTATGAGCGACGAGATGTATGGTAAATTGACCAATGAGTGAAGTATACCACAAGCTTATCTACATGATTTTCGGGGCTAACCGAGGGGTTCGCTAATCTGTTATCTGCCAGATTATTTATCATGGCTAATTGATTGGCGGGGTTGGCATAGGGTGAAAAACTGCATATAGGCGTGACTCAAGGTGACTCCCGACGCACGGGGGCAGCTGACTCGCCGATGACTCGCACCTTGAGTCACGCCGCCATCGCCGCAAATATCGCCCCAAAACCACCACCAACCACCCAATTAGAACCCCTAGTTACTGCCTAAATGTCTCCATTACCCCATTAGTCCCATCTGTTGCCCCAATCGCCAATTGTTGGGTCGGGAAACCCCTTTTCGTGCGTTTTTGGGCGCCGTTTGTGACCCCTTTTTGCCGTGCTCATCCTGCTGCACGGATCTATCACTACAGTGCGCGCGTGAGCCCCAACAACCGTAAGCGGGACCTACCAAGCATAAATAGCCCCCGCCGGCCCCCCAGAGGAGCCACAGCTTTACTGGGTATCTGAATGGACTCTACCGACAGCGTGACTGACAAGCACTCGCACCTCGAAAGCCGCCAGCTCTCCGTGGGCGACGCGCTCAGCGACGCCGAACACCTGGTGGGCGACGCCGCCTACCCCGAGCTCGACCGGTCAAAACTCGATAAAGTCTACCGCAAGTTGGATTTCCGGATTATCCCCGCGTTGTGGGTGCTTTACTTCTTGACGTCGTTCGGTTCTAACGCCTACGGGCTCACCCTTACCATGAATAAGGAGCTGGGCCACTCGCTCGGCCAGCAGCTCAAACTCTCGAGCAACGACACCGCGGTGGCGTCGGCGTTGTACTACGTCGGCTACATCATCTTCGACGTGCCCATGAACTTGGTGATGACGAAAGTGGCGCCGCAGGCGTGGCTCTCGCGAATCGTGATCACCGTGGGGTTGGTGTACGCCTGCTACTGCTCGTTAAAGAACCGCGGCGGCGTCATTGCTATCAGATTCATCCTGGGTATGGTGGGCGCCGGTACCTGGCCCGGTTTGACGTACTACGTGCTGCTTTGGTACCCCAACGACCGGCTGACCCGGCGGATTGGCTACTATTACACCGCGGCGCAGATGTCGGCGGCGTTGGCGGGGCTTCTCAGTGCTGGCTTTCAACGGATTGACGGCAACAGAGGGTTTACCGGCTGGCAATGGATGTATTTGACTTATGGGGTGATCACCATTGCCGTGGGCATCTCCCTCATCTGGTGGCTTCCCGACCGCCCCTTCCACCAGCGGACGCCGAAGCTGAACAAAGTGCTCGACACCATGGACAAATTGACCACCTCCCCTTACCCGTTGAACCCCGAGGACGCCGAATTGCACCGCCTCGACTTTGAGCACCGCTACAAGCTTGTCGAGTGGTCGTGGACGGACGTCGTCGCCATCATCACCGACTTGCGCATCTGGCCGTTGATCATCATGTATTTTGGGGTCGTTGGTACCGGTTTTGGTCTCGCGGTGTTTGGGCTGACGATCATCGCCGCCCTTAACCCTCAGTTGACCGGGATCCAAGTGTCGCTTCTCTATGCCCCCATCTGGTTATTCGACCTTGGCGGTATCCTCTTGGTGACCCCCTTCGCCGACCGGTTCAAAAAGTTGCGTCCCGTGATCTTCTGCGGCTCGGTGGCGGTGATCATGTGTGGGCTCTTTGTGATGACGTTTGCCCATGGGTTTTGGAACCGGTGGGCGGGTTTACTCATCTGTGGGTTTGGCCTTGGTCCGACGGTGCCCATCACGATGTCGTGGGGGGCCGAGATCTTCTTTGCCGACTACGGCGACGTCGGCACCGCCGTGGCGGCGGCGGTGATCTCGGGTTTGGGTAACCTTGGCTCGGTGACGCTGACGTACGCGTTGTACTCGGGGTGGCCCTCGGATAAGCCCCGGTTGTACAAGTACTCCAACATGATGTTGGTGGTGATGTTGGGGGCGCTGGTGATCGCCTGTGGCATCGCCGTGGTGTTGAGAAACCGCGTCAAACCCCACCAGTTCACCGGCAAGTTGCTCAAGTCGAATAACTAAGACTTGTGACCATCTATGACTCCTCCCCTGATGACTGCCTGAGCCGATGGGTGAGCCATCGTGTTAATTATCGGCGCCCTAATAACCTGACTAATATTTATATAACTGTGTATATAGCCACTAATAATAACCCCCCTGGCCCCCTCACAATTGACTGGTGTAGGAGACTGGTCATCTCAAAAGTGCTACACAGTCTCCCTTGATACCACTTACCATTTTACCGTAAAGTATCCGGCTTTGATTATATTTGGTAGAGATATTTGCAGCTTTTCTCGACTGTTTGTTTTGACCCTGACTTGCCACCTCACCAGTAACAACTACACCAGCAATTAGCTCACACAACAACAATTAACGAAAACCGATGGTACCACGATAATCCTGACATCCACTAGACCAAGCTTGGCTACTTACAATTCAAAATTGTCATAATTGACTGTGTTTTCTCCGCCTCTTATAACACACTGCCTTTCACTGTCGCGCCGCACGCCATGACCCTTAACCTCCACACGGTGGCAACCAGCTACTTCGACAAGCTCTTCGGCGGCGATGACAAGGGCAAGGTCTTGCTCGTCGACAAGCACACCGTGCCCGTGATCCTGATGTGCTACACCCAGACGGAATTGCTCGAGCACGAGGTGGTGCTTGTGGAAACCATCGACAACGTCGGCAGCTTGGCCGTGATGAAAAACTTGAATTGTGTCGTGTATATCAAGCCCACGCAGGAGCTGATTGGCTACTTGGCCCGGGAACTCGCTAGGCCCCACTACGGCCCCCATTACCGGGTGTTTTTCTCCAACTGTGTCCTGAAGCCCCACCTCGAGAAACTCGCCCAGGCCGACGAGTTTGAAGTGGTGGACCAGGTGTGCGAGGTGTTTAACGACTACTTGACGGTCAACGATAACTTGTTCTCGCTTGGCCGCCGCGAATTGTCGACGTTGGACGAAAGCAACCACGTCATCAGCGTGCTCTTAGCGCTCAAACAGTGTCCCGTGATCAAGTACCAAACCCTGCTGATTGAGCTCCGCCGCCTCGCGCTGGAGATCGTCTACAACATCAACTCCAACTCCAACAATAACCTCTTTGACGACGCTAACCCGCACAGCGACCGCCCGCCGGTGCTCCTTTTGCTCGACCGCAAACACGACGCCATCACCCCCCTCTTGGCGCCGTGGACGTACCAGCTGATGCTCCATGAATACATCGGCATCGAGGGCAACATGGTGAAAGTGGGCGACGAGGCGTTTACTTTGAGTCAGCATCAGGACAAGTTCTTTTCCGAGCTGATGTACTTAAACTACGGGGACTTGACGGAGAAATTCCAGCGGTACGTCGAACAGTATAAGCTGGAGACCCAGGCGACGTCTCTCGACAACTTACGCACCCAGCTGTTGACGGAATTGAAAAAGCTGTTGGCTAAGTTCCCCGAGTTCCGTAAATTGCTGGGCAATATCTTGAAGCATTTGGCGCTTATCGGTGAGTTAGACCGTCAGATCCAAGTGCAGGACATGTGGGAGATCGGTGAGCTCCAGCAGACGCTTGTGGGCGACTTAGAGACCCAGGCGCTGTTACGTCCGCAGATGAACACTGTGCTCGAAAACCCACAAGTGCTGACGGTAAACAAGGTGAAGTTGATCCTCTTATACAGTGTGCGGTTCCCCGATAGCCACCAGGACCTCGGCGGGTTCGTCCAGCGGCTCCAGGACTCGCAAATGACTCCTGAAGCACCCACCATGTCACAGATGACCCTCATCAAACGGTTTGCCACGATGTTCCCCCACGCTTCAGCCCGGCTGAATACTGCGTCACAAGAAACCGGGGGGATCACCAACTTGTTCACCAACAAAAAGCTCACGTTCAACTCGTTTTTCGCCCCCAAGGCCCAGCACAACGACAACATCTACATGCAATACGTCCCCCAACTCCACCGGTTATTGGCCGAGCTCATTCTGCCGCAGCCTGCTCAGCAGACGACGCCGCAGATCCACGATTACTCGACGTTGGTGCCCGACAACTTGCAGGCCAAGTACGGCACTCAGGCGGCCCAATTGGCGGGAGAAGTGCAAAATATCATCATTTATATTCGCGGCGGGGTTACCTACGAAGAAGCCAGGCTTGTCCATGAGCTTAGCGCCTCCAACAGCGGTTTGAACATCGTCATTGGTGGCGATCGCTTGCTCAATAGCGACCAGTGGCTCGACCAGATGTACGATATGGTTAATTCTCAAGCCCATGCGACTCAGCCGGAGGTAGACCGTCAGGCAGCGTTGCGGGAGATCTTATGAGTACTCAATGCCATAATCACATTTTCGTGAAATCAACGAATTAGTACCAACTAACACTACAATCAGTGTTTCGCTTATAGCTACCAGATCAGACTAGGAACAACTGGATGACGTCTTTGTCGCAGCATCCAACCTACTTATATACATAAAATACGACCTTCCCTTGTAATTCGATTTTAATATTTCGATTATCATCTAAGATAACTGTAAATCATGAAAATGATCATCTAAATACAGGGATGCAAGAAATACGAATTCGATATTTAAGTACCAGTAAACGGTAGATTGTTGTACCAATAAGCCGCTATGATAATGGTCTTTATGAGCTGAAATTTCAGCCCACCCTGGTTCCAGTCACGCCTCATAAACGCTCTGGCTTTCGAAGGGTCGTGGGATGTGGCTATTTTTATAAATTGGTCGTTCAAAAACCGAAAATCGAGATTTGCGAGGGAGTTTAGTACTTGAGATTTCACCTTTTGCGTTGCGAGCGTTGATCTTTGGACCCTGATTTATAGCAGACATCCGCCGAATTACAAAAATGAAGGTCAATATCGATTAGCTCAAATTTTCATTGGACATAATATTATTCTTATTAAGCATGTAACAACTTGAACAGCGGTTGAGTAATCCTCAAACTCAAATTTGTGTGTTATTAGTTCAGATAAGTACCAATGGACAGCGACCGATTTATGTAAGCTTTTGAATGATTTCAGGCTTTACCGCAGTAGCCACACTCATAATTCACTTACTCATTGATCACCCTTCCAATCGTAGCCGTCAGTGGACAAGTAGTTGTATCCCGCAAGCTCTATTTCTCAGCTCAATAACCACAACTTGTACACAACCAGACGTAATAGCAGAGGTATCTCAAGGGCCAATATGCCATCAATCGGTCTTGGGATTGTGTATTGTCTCCGATGGTATAGACCATAATTGCATCACGGAGCATACTTGCCGAACTTCTGTTCCCACAGCAAGATTCTCTCCGTGAGCCGCTCCATCAGCTTTAGGTTATCATTAAAGTCGCGGATGACCTTGGCGCTGGGGTCATCACTGTCGTCGTCGGTGGTCTCCTTATAATTGAAGAGGGCGATCTTGAGCTGGCGCTCTTCTTCGAGCTCCATCTGCGACCGGCCAAGCCACTCGAGGATGGCGCCGGTGCGCTTACGGAGCTCGTAGATCGACAGCGCCTCGGCGACGAAGCGCGGGCGTGACGGCTGCGCGAGAAGCTCGGCCCGCGAGATCTGTGGCGCCTGCGACAGCTCCTTCTTCGTTTGGGTGGCGGCCAGCTCTTGCGGCGGCGTCTTGCTCTTCTTCGCTCGAGGGCGCAGTTTCTTTAGCCGGCGGCCGCTGGTCGCTGACCCCAGCGCGTCGCCGCCGTCCTCGGTTTCTTCCCGCGGCGACGGGTCGCCGTTCTCTTCCTTGACCTCGCCCGCCGGCAGCGCCAGCTTGTCGTGGGGGCTCGGGGTTTTCTGGTGGGGCGTTCGCGTGCGCGGGGTGTTGGCGTCGTCGTCGTGGTCGTCGTGGTCGTCATCGCCGGCGGCCACCCCCAGCTCCTGGGCGCTTTCCCGAAGCGCCCGCTGGAGCTGTTCGTCGTAGTCCTCGTAGTGGCGCTTGCGCTTCGGTGCCGACGGCAGCGGCGGGTCGCCCCGGCGCCGCGCCCGCCCTTTGGGCGCCGGCGCCTCGCGGTCGTCGCTAAACAACTTGGTCCGGGAGCGGTTGGTGGGGCGATAGAGGGTGCGGACGACGTCGCCGTCGACGATCACCAAGTGGTGCAAGTCGGGCTTGCACTGCTCGCACCAGTACTTGTCGGGGACGTCGTCGTTGGTGAACAAGCCCACGCAGTAGCCGTGCTGCCACACCAGGCACTTGTCACACTGGATGAAGAGGCCGTGGTCGATTTTGACCCCGTAGTGCTTCAAGGTGTCGGCGACGCCGGCGTCGATGGCCAGCGCGTCCAACTCGTCCTGGCCACACACACACCGCGTCACCTCCTCGTCGTCGTCGACCTCGTCGTCGGCCTCGACGTCGTAGCCGTCCTTGGGCTCGTCCTCGTGCGGGTCTAGCTGGCGTCTGCTGCTTCGACTCATAGGGGCGTTGGTGAGGGTGGGTAGCGGGATATAGCTAAAGGGTTAGCTAGTGTTGGGTTGTGGAGTGCGAGAGGCTTCGTGCGCCGCCAGCGCGAGTAATTATACAGGCAAGATGAGGGACCATAGACGTCATAATGAGAACCGCGGAAACAAGTGAGGATACTGACAACATCAAATACGATGTTATTGAGGCTTGCTAAGGAAGATAATTGACAAGGGAGTATAAGCTTTCGATGGAGGTAACCGTGAGAAAGAGTGAATGTTCATTCCTGTTAGAATTTCCCCAACGATAGACAATTTAGAAAACACGGTTAGCATTCGACAATGACAGGTAATGATCGTTGATAATAAGTTGGAGATGCCATATTTGTTAGGGATGGAATAATGCTTTAGATGATGGTTTATCTCTCAATCTTCATCACCGTGAACTATGAAGAACAACCCTCATCTTCTCCACAATTTTGGATTACTGAGTTTCAGTGACCAATTTACCGCTGACTGCTCCTCTTGTCATTAGTTATCTCTATGTTTTGTTTCATGAGTTCGTGTGTTTTATCTCACGTGACCACATCGCCATAACGCGGGTGTAGGCCTCCTCACCAGAACGCGTCCCGGCCATGTTCGCTAACCGCAAGTTTGTGGTGATTTCTCCCCACCCCACGCTGCCAGCGGTTTCCAAAGACGACGTCACCAATCATGGCGCCGCCAGTTTCACCCTGGTGGCAAAAACAAAGCCATTCCTCGATGCCGACCCAAATGAACGGCCCGACTATATCATCAGCGACACCAGCGAATTCTCCGACTACGCCAAGGCTCAGCAGTTCATGATCCCCGTGGTCAAACCTCAGTGGGTCCACGACTCCATCGCCGCAAATAAGCTCGTGGCGACCAACGCCTATTCCCCTGACGACCGGCTAATCTTCAAAGACGTGTACGCGTGTGTTGCCGACACCGTACCGCAGGGAGACAAAGAAGTGCTTTACGGAGCCATCGTGGCGTTTGGCGGCCAGTACAACGACATCATGACCCGCGCCACCACCCATTTAATCTCCCCTGACGCCACCAATGAGAAATACCTTCTTGCCGCCTCCAGCCGCGACGATGAAGATATCAACATCAAACCGGTCTCACCGCACTGGATCAACCGCTGTGTCACCTCTCAATCACTTGTGGATGAAACCGACTATTTAGTATCCCCTACCTCTAATGGTATCCCTGAAGACGAACCGATGGCTGACGTATTTGACTTCCCCAGCAGCCACGACGCCGCTGATACTCCCCCGTTAGCTGATCTTGAAGGCAAACGATTCTTTGTGAGTTCTGATTTCAATTTAAGCTCTCAACAGGAAGCAGCGGTGACGCGATTGATTCATTACCACGGTGGGATTGTTTCCCCTCAGTATAATCCAGACACGGTCGATATCTACTTGGGTAAGTTCCGCCTGGGAGACGACTACGAACGGGCGAAATTGCTGCCGCGGACCATCGTCGCCAACTTGGACTGGCTCTACCATATTGTCCAGCGCCACTCGTTTGTGTTGCCTCGCAATGCCAATATGCTTTTCTACCCGTTCCCCAACCCTACTCTGAAACTACCGTTGGAGGGAATGTCAATTTCCCTTACTAATTATTCGGGGAACGCTCGTTTTTACTTGATAAAGCTTATCGAGGCTTTGGGAGCTACATTCACCAAAAACCTCACGCGAGATAATGATATCTTGGTTTCCAGCAGTGACAGTGGTAAGAAATACTCCACCGCTAAATTCAAATGGCTTTCGGGCGTCGGCGACCCGGTGGTGTCGGTGGTAAACCATCTCTGGCTCGAGGAGTGCTATCGTCAACAAAAGCAAGTGGTCTTTCTGGAAAAGTACACCATTGTCGGATCTAATCAGTTACCTCCACCAGGGTTAGCCCGTTTGTTACCGGAACTATTTGACGGAGTGTCATCAACTTCATTATCACCGGAAAAGGATGAAATAGGATCAGAGCCGGAAGCGGAGGAATTACACCCGCCGAAAGATACCCCCACCCAACCCCAGGCGGTCTCTGAAGCCACCCAGTTATCGGAAACCTCGCCCGAACCCACGCCCCTGAAATCGTCGGATGCTGCTGACGTGGCAGTGGTGTCCCCTAAACCAAAGTCACAGGAAAAGCCACCGAAACTGTCGCCTTACAAATCACAAACGAAACTGTCGCCACAATCGACCCAGGCCCTGGAAGCGATGCCTCCTCCTACGAGCAGAGGACGGTCAGCGGCTCGTAAAGCGGCGGAGAAATTGCATAACGATATGAGTGACTTGAACCAATTTGAAGCCGCTCGTACCAGTAAACGGAAGATGAAGGATTACTTGGAGACCCACGGCCTTAGCCAAGAGCAAGCAGAGCAAGCCGCCGCCCATACTAAACGTAAACGGGCCGAAACTAATAAACTGAACGGTCACGAGGGTAGCGTTCCTGTACGCGCTAAGTGTGTGGTTACGGGGTTCAGAGAGTTTTCTCGTGCCGAACTAAGCCTGCTTCTGGAAGTGGGGATCGTGGTTGTCGGTAATAAGCTGGGGTCGATTGACTTCGACGGGGTGGACACGTTATCTGCTCCCAAAGTGATGAGAACCGAGAAGTTCCTTCGGGGGCTTGGCCACGTTAAGCGTCTCATTCATCCCAGTTTTTTTGATGATGTCCTCAAGAGTATGGCTTCGTATGAGGCTATTGACAACTACAGTTTGGATAAGAAAGTGGGGGCCGCCGAGTTGAACTCCGAGCTCGGGGGCGACATTGATCCCAAACACCCCATTGCCACCCTCATTTCCCGTCGTCCTAGAGATGGTGTGTTCGCTGGTACCTCGTTAAACCTTTCCCATAACTTGAACGGTGGCGTTGACCTTATTGCCCGAGTGCTTCATGATCACGGCATGGAAGCTCACCAAGTGGCGAAGGGAGCGAGCGTCAAAAGCCCTTGCCAGTTCCGCAAAACGGGAAATGATCCTGACGTGGTATACATATGCCATGCCTCGAAAGACCAGAAACTTGTCAAGGCGATCAAGGCGAAGATCGACGCTGGCAACAACTGGGCCGTGGTCGAGTGGGATTGGTGTGTCCAGTGCATTTTCCACATGCAGATGTTGCCTCTTGACGGCTTTAGTCTAGTATAACGAGATACGACCTTAATGATACCTTAATTATATGATGTGTGTAGTACAGGGTGCTATTGTTGTAACGGATCAGGAAATGAATTGCGTCTACTTGCGCGCCAAATTGAGCGGCGCACGCCCCAGAAACATGAAATCAGATGCTCGGAAGTCAAACCAAATATGCCATTCTCGGGTAGTACACGACTGATCAAAGCATTTTGTGTGGGGCACGACGAAACTAATCAGTTACGTCATCGTTATGCCAGTAATTAACCACAAAAAGCCGCCACTCCTACGCCAAAGATCTTCAGATAAATCAAATAATCTAACAGTTCATACACTACATAATGCCCTCAAATATCTATCAAGCTGGGCCCTTCGCCGTTTTGCCGGTACTGCTGCTGCTGCCCCTGGTTGCCAAAGCCATAGCCAGTGGCGAGCGGCTGCTGCTGGGGCTGCTGCTGCTGTTGGCCTTGGTAGCCGATGCCCGTGTTCAAAAACGGGTTCCCCGTAGCATTGGAGGATAAACGCACCTGCAGCGACGTCTCCTGGCGGTACCCGGTACCCTGGGAGTTGATAAACGTCCCCGTCTTCGTGTGCTGGTGGGGGATACGCATGTCCCCCGTGTTGCCGAAGGTGTCGATCCCCGTCCCCTGGGCCAACAAGTTGTTGAGCTCGCCGTGGGTGTCGTCGCCGAACTTCGACCCCAGCGTGCGTTGGGGCTGGAGCTGTTGTTGTGTCTGTTGTGGTTGAGACGCGAACTGGGGCGTTTGGCCGTAGGCAGCGGCGCTAAACGCTGACAGCAACGGCTGCTGTTGTTGTTGCTGCTGTTGCTGTTGGGCCAAGGCGTTCAACAGGTCGGGGTTTTGTTGAGGCGACAGCGGACCCTGGTTCAAAGCAAACGGGTTGTTCAGCCCCGTCTTGAGCGGCTGCAACGGTTCCTGAGGCTGGTGGAAGCCCGTGAACGTCGGCTGCTGCTGAGGAGCACCCGTGGTCATCTGGTTCTGGATGGGGTTGCCGAACATGTCGAAGTACTGGCCCTGGGCAAGCTGTTGCTGCTGCTGTTGTTGTTGCAACCATTGCTGCTGCTGCAACTGCTGCTGTTGGAGTTGTTGCTGTTGGAGCTGTTGCTGTTGGAGCTGTTGTTGTTGTAACCACGCCGCCTGTTGCTGCTGGAGCTGCTGCTGTTGCTGGTCGACGGGCACCGCCATGAAGTAGGTGGCGCTGTTGTCGTGGCCGTCCAAGTCCAACAAGTTCTGGTTCTGCTTGCGCATTTCCTCTTCCTCGAGCGAGAGCTTCAACGCCGCTCTCAACTCGGGGTCGTCGGAGTCGGCGTGGCGGCTGGCGTTCTCCTCCTCCGCCGTCTGTCTCAGCAACTCCAACGCTCTCTGCAAGTCGGCGTCGTAAGGGTCGTCGCCGCCGCGGGGGCGCAGCAGCGTCGTGTCGCGTCTCCGTCGGCGCCCGCCGTACTCGTCGGCGTGGGAGTTGTTGGCCCGCTCCATGCGCAACCGCTCATCGTCCTGCAAAAGCGATACGAGCTCCTTGGCCTTGACCCGGATGAGCGCCCCCTGGTCGACGTTGTTGTCGTCAAAGTGGATAAACTCCCGCAACGTCTTGATGATATAGATGTTGTCCTTCGCCCACAACACACACTTTTCCGAGCCAAAGCGCACCAAGTAGTCGAGCACCGTCAACAGCTTGGCAGTGTGGCGCCAGTACTTGCCCTTGTCGTTGAGGCGGCGGTCCAACATGTCCATGATCTCCAAAAAATCCGTTTGCGACGAGTAGGTGTAGCGGGCGATCTCCTCCATTTCGTTGGTGGTGGGCCCCAGCGGGTCGTTCAGCGTCGCCTGGCGCACCGCCCGCTGCACCAGCGAGTACCCGTTGGTGACGTTCTTGAACGTGCGAACAATCAGCTTCAGCATTGCCGCGTGTGTGGTGGCCGAAGCGTGGGTTAGCGTGTAGACGGGTGGGGGTGGTTGGTGAGGAGTGAGGGTGCCACCGGAAGCCGTTGGTTGCTGGCTGTGCGAGTGCGGCACACCCACGACTCGGGACGATAACCAGGGTTTTTTGAGGATTTGCAGAGGGTGGATGTATGGATATGATAACGTAAATTATTTCCTACGAGTCAGTTTTACCTGTTAAGCTCTCATTGTTGTAGGGGACGCTCCACGAGGGTGGGTGCGTGACGAGTCGTAGAGGCTTCGAGATAACCGTGGGTGAGGCTCACACACTCGGCCCACACTCGGAGTTGTGCCCCTCGGGTCTGTCAACTCCGACACAAAAATAGGCTGATACAAAAATGAAATCGTGATATAACGTGCTTGAATAAGCCTTATTTATCTTCTAGAGTGGTAGATCTCTTAGTACACTTTGTGGGGGAGCCAGCCATCGGCATAGTGGGGCGCTTTGAGGTGATTTAATCGAGCGCGGCGAGAATAATTAGCTCTCACCGAACAGGAGAGAAATGACGGCTAAACAGATACCATGCTAAATATGCTTAGACCAATGAGCCTACGTTTGTCAGCATGGGTCGTACTGGTGCTGTCGAAAACGTGACTCAAAATTTTTTGCCACCACCTGCCATAGAAAAAATAACAACTCATGGAGTCGATAGCCTCACTAAAATAGATCGACTAATACAAGAGCATATACCGAGTGTTGTCTTGCTAAAACACACACCCTGAATTGATTATACACATTTTCGACTTGATCTCACTGATATATCGTCGCTTTTGGCACCGAGGAAACCCCACCTGCATATAGCCAAAAGCCAGGAAATTTTTACTGTATAACCAAAAACCCTATCGTCATTGTTTTCCCACCCTCCAATCTTCCTTAACTCCATCAGCCTCCCCCGCCACCCGGCTCTGCCATTAACCTATCCCTCCCCCCGAACACAATGTACCGCAGCGGAGACATGAACGACGGCGCCAGACGGTGTCGCCGGTGCAAGCGCAAGAGACTCGATGACGAGCCCCCCGAAGTGCAACAATACAAGACGTGTGCCAAGTGCCGGATCATTGAGCGCAACAAGAAGAACAGCCGCAAGCCCCTCGCCGAGGAGACGATGCTCTACGGGTTGAAGCAGTTCCAGGAGCAGCTGGTGCTGGGCAACTTCATGGAGGAAGAGATCTTCTTCAAGGACGAGTTTTTCCGCCGTTTCCAGAATAAACCGTTCAACTATGAGGCCGAGCTCCACGAAATGATGTCTAACCCCAACTACTCGTCGCAGTACTCGCTGGCACCTCAAGGAGGCGACGAACTGCCGGCCCCCCGTGGCGGCAACAACAACAACTACAACAACTTCAAGCTGAGCACCGTCCCCATCCAGGGGCTCGGGCTGACCCTGCCCCTGCAGAACTTCAGCATGTTGCTGCCTCAGCAGCTGGCCGCCGCCGTCGCCGCCGCCGCTCAGTTACAGCAGGCCCAACTGCCGCCAGCGGCGATGGCGGCGCCGATGCAGCCGCCTCAGTACCAAGGCGGTGTCCCTCAGAACGGGGGCGCCACCAGCTTCTACGGCGCTGCCGCCCGCCAGGCGCTCGCCATGCCTACTCACACCTCCAGTGCTCGCCATAACCCGGTGGCCGACGAGGACGTGTTGGGCGAGCTTGCCAAGTTGAGGGGTGACGGCGCCAAAGTCGACGGCGAGGAATTTGACCCTTATAGTCTCGATAACGTCTACGAGGACTACCAGATCTACTTGCTGATGCTTTTAACCGAGCGCCAAAATACGCGGCTGGTGCAAAACGCCGTCTATTTGAAGGAGTTTGACGAAGAAGTCACGTTCAATTTGCTGCGGTTTGACCTGACCCAGGCGAAAGGGCTGGGATCGAATGACCCTTACCGCCTCAAGATGGGTGGGGAAAAGCACGCCCGCACCGTGTTGCTTAATAACCTCAAAACCCTTTACGTCGACCCGGTGATGGCGGTGCTTAACCTCGAGTTCTCCCAGCAACTGACGAACTTGGTCGACTACCGCGCCCTGTCGCTGCTTATCGCCCTCTACAACTTTGTCTACGACGAACAGACGCCGCTGGAGGCCGACGTCGTCTCCCACAAGGTGAAGCAGGCGCTGATCTACGTCAACTACAACCGTGTCCACCACTTGCTCATCATCAAGACCAACTACCAGTTGTACGAGCCCAGTGGCCACAAGTACTCGCTGGCGGTGGTGGCGAAGGTGAACGAGTTGTATAAGAAATTGGCCTACGAGAAGAGCCACAACCCCGGGGTGGTGCTGGGCGACGTCAGCCACAATGTGTCGACAGCCCAGGTGATATACGACCGGTTGTTACAAGAAACCGATACCTTAGGCGACCAAGTGCAAAAGCTCGACCAGAACGATTTTATCGGTGACTTCGTCAACTTCGACGCCGTGTTCACCATGGAAGACTCGTTCGACGAAGACGACCAGAACGAAGACGAGATCGTCGACGACGAGGAGCTCATGGACGACGATGACGTTGACGGTGTTGCCGACGCGGCATTGGTGGAAGACATCGCCGCCGTTGCCGCCGGGCTCGACGGCGATAGCGCCTTTGTCGACCCCATGTTTGAATAGATTTTTTACTCCTTAGGAGAAACCCCCTTTGTATTATATGTGTATAATGATATGCCATGAGATGAAACAGTCCTTTCTGAACGAGCCCAGGCTAGACTCAATATTCCTGTGTCTGTGGAGAAGCTCTGTTTGCCTTTGTGCGGATGAACTGTAGGCCAATGTGAGGCCACAGCAGCTCCAGTGGTACCAACAGTGCTCGACGCGATTCTGGCTGTACAAGTTGGGCCCTACTTGGTGTGCAAGCCGGAGGTGTTGCCACTGGAGCAACCGCATAACCACCAGTAGCCTCTTGAGTGTTGATGATTACGCTTATGGTTGGATAAATGTAACTGGTTACGGCTGTAATGGGCTCTGAGTAAGTTAGTCATAATGAACATGAATGTATTGACGACGAGGAAAATCCTTCGTCTACTATCGACGTCTTACTCTAGTATTGTCCATATTCAATTGATTATTCACTACCAAAGGCCACAATGTCATTCTTTTGGCAATTTCATCAGAGCTATACGCATTCCTAGAAATGGGACAGGACACACATTGCTTCGATTCTGAAATCTGCTTTTCGGGTTGCATCGTTTTCTTAATGAACGAACCACAAAATTGTCAGATCAACTATCTCTCCAGCTTACAGGCGTCCATTGGAGAAAGATAAGCATCAGCCTACGAGAGCCTTTCGCGTGTGTAGTCCCAAAATGCTATGACGATGGACCATCCACTAATACCTACCGTCGCAAATGCAATTGCAAAACCAGCAAAATTTCGAGATATTCTAAGTGAAAGTAAATCCTCCATGCCTTAGGCTACTGAAAAGCTTACTTTCAATCTTATTGCACGAGTTTATCATGGTCTTGGTTTATCCTCTATTAGTCTATTATTCTATCAGTTGTCCTCTCCCCAATAGCAGCGGCGCCACTTCCTGGAGCCACCCAAGCTCGATCCGCAGCACGTTCCGCCCGTAGGGCTTCGTGGTAAACACGTAATCAATATACAAGATGGCGTCGTTTTGCGAGCCGAAAAGCACCAGCGACGGGTGGATCGAGATCAATTGCCCCGCGGCGAAAGTACGGTACAGCCGGTCGGGCATGCCGATGGCAGTATTGGTGACGTACCCTTTCAAGAACAGTTTCAATACTTCGGCGACATCAAACAGTTTCGCCTGGAACTCATCATCATGGTCGTCGTTGGCTAAGTCAGTGAGGGCCCTCATGTACTGGCGCAATTGTTGCTTTACTTTCAACACGTTTTTGAACCCTTTGAAGCTGAAATGAAGCTCCTTACACCATTCCTTCTGGGCGTTAGCGTCCCCTAACTCCCTGAAGTAGTCGAGCCACTCTTTAAACGTGATGAGATCACCGTGACGGCGGCCAAGGGTATAAAATTGCCGCCGCTTCGCGTTGACATCGTCCCGCTTCTCCCCGGTGACGTTAAGCACCAAATTGTCGACGGAAAGACACGAAATGATATCGATGACCGCGTCCAACACTCCCCGCTCATGAGCCGTGATAAGCACCACCGAAAGCTGGGGGGCTAGCGGCAATACTGCCATTTTCACCCCCAACTCCGTCACCTGGCCCTTATCATTCAACGCCCCCAAACTGTATAAGGTATTGAGAGCAGCAACGATAGCATCTTCACCCGGGTGTTCAAGCCACGTCCAATTGAGTAGATCGTCCACCCCCATTCGTTTGAGCGTTAAGATCGGGTAGATGACGTCATTTCTCATGATCTCCAGCTCCTGTTGTTGTGGTAGTTTCTCAAACATCGACTCCAGATAAAGGCGAAACACTTTACCGGCACTTTCTCTCCCGGCTCTCCCGGCTCTCTGACGAGCAGAAGCTTGCGAGATGGGGGTGGTCAAAAGCGTAGATATCCCCAATTGATGTTTCCACACTTTCACTTTGCGGAGCCCCAGGTCGATGACGTATTTAACACCGGGGACGGTAATCGAGGTTTCGGCGATATTGGTGGCCACAATCACTTTCCGTTGTCTTGGTTTCACGGGGGCGAAAATCTTCGCCTGTTGTCCTGGCGATAACGCCGCGTATAACGGTACTGCCTGGATCAATGGTGCCTCTTTAGGTAGTTCGGGAGCGAGTTGGTTCAATGCTGACACACAGTTATCAATCTCTTCTTGCCCTGGTAGGAAACAGAGGATATCCCCCTCAAGCTCTGACTGGTTAGCCTGCACTACGGCTCTCACCATGGTGTCCACGACGTCCTCCGTCGGTTCACTCAAATAGTATCGGGCCACGGGGTACATTTTCCCCTCGACAAAGAGGATCGGAGCGTTATCAAAGAACTGGGAGAACAATTCGGCGTTCAACGTCGCCGACATGATCACCACTTTCAAATCGGGTCTGGTCGAGGAAAGCATCAGTTTCAAGAACCCCAAGATCAAATCGGTCAACACCGTACGTTCGTGGGCCTCGTCGATGATGATGGTCGAGTACTTCTGAAGCTTATCGTCGAGCATGATCTCTCGGAGTAACATCCCGTCCGTCAAGTATTTGAGCTTAGTCTTGTGGCTGGTGACGTTCAGAAACCGCACCTGGTACCCTACTTGCTCGCCGACATGACACCCATGTTCCTCAGCCACTCTCTGAGCTAACGAGGCGGCGGCCACTCGTCTCGGCTGGGTACACGCTATGAGCTTTTGCGGGTGCTGTTCAAGCAAGAACTGGGGGATCTGCGTCGACTTACCCGACCCGGTTTCCCCGATGATCACGGTGACGGGGTTGGCGTCGATATAGCTCGTGATCGCCTGGCGGTGGCGGTAGATGGGTAAAGTGTGTCTCACCTTTTGGAGCTCACGCGCCCGCTGTTTGGGGTCAGCCACGGGTTTAGTGATGAAGTCGTCGTCGTCGTCGTCACCGTGGTCATAAAATGCCACCAGCTTTTTCCGGGGCGGCTTTATCGCGTCCTTTGGTTTAGTAGGTTTCGGCGCGTTAATGGCTTCACTTTCCACAGGAATGGCATCAGTTTCAGGCTGGATCGGGTCCGTGGAAGTAGCGGTGCCATTGGGTGTTGATTTGACGTCAATATCATCACTTTTAACCTCTGGTTGGGGGGCGATGGGGGCGGCGTCATCGTCGAATTTAATCTTTTTATTGACTTTCACCAGGACATCGGACTCAAAAGACGGTACAGGCTCGGGTGCCGGCTCTGAGCTAGCCTTCTTTTTCGACCGCTTACGCTTGCGCTTATCACCGGCCATGGTATTTGTGTGGGGGAGTTAATTGAGTGTGATCGTGAGAAGCGAGAGATGCGATGCACTTTTCGTATGGGGCCGGTGATGGCGCCAGGGCTGCGTAACGCGCGCGACCCCCCCGATAACGACGAACT